GATGATGGGCTCAAGTATAACGGATTGTGGGGCTGGCGCGGGATCGGGCAGTGTTTCATTCTGCTGTGCATGGGGTCGCTATGAGTCGGAAACGACTCAATGGCACTTAACAACAACAACAACAACAAAGATCAGATCACTGTTCCTGCCCGCAGTAAGCTCGCAGTCTAGGAGCACTCTCAGTACAGTCTTATTTTAATACTTCTTATTTCTCTTGGCCACCTCACCCCATAAAGATAGTCTCTGCTCATATATTAATTTGCAGCCCAAAATATTATTCTCCACCTAACAGATGGAAACAAGGAGTAAATTGTTTGGGAATTGGGAATTTGAGGAACATGCTGTCTGGGTTTGGTTTTGGGGAAGTTGAAGTCCATGGGACCGTGTGGTAGGTCCTTTAATGAAATGAAAGACAGTGCTCTTTTTGTGCCAGTGCACTTCCTGTTCGCCCTTGGCCCCCTGCCCCTCACCACCAGGCTGTTTTGCCTCATTGCCTTGTTCAGGTTTTTACTTTATGAGCATTTCCCTTTGTTAGCTCCCCGATGCGTTCATCATCACCATCCATAACTGCTTTAGGAAGATTTTGGAACCAGCCAGCATTTCTCATTTAGAAGTTAGAGCAGCACTGCAAGTGGCCTTGTGAGTCTGCACACTCCTGAGATCCTGGGGCTGCCTGCATGGCCTAGATAAGCCCTGCTGGCCTGTAGCACTTGGTCTTCCCAGCACTGGATTTGAGGTCACGAAACTGAATGTGGGTCTCTTGGTTGATATAGTGTGTTTCTAAAGTTTAAAAAAAAAAAAAAAAAGTTGCCGTAGCATCAATTCTGACTCATGGTGACCCCATGTGTGCACGGTAGAATTGTGCTCCATAGATTTTTCAAGGTGGTTGACTTTTGGAACTGTCTTCCAAGCTACCTCTGGGTAGATTGAAACTTCCAACCTCTTGGTTAGTAGCCAAGCACTTAGCCATTTGTGCCACCAGGTACAGTGTATATCTAAAGTAATGGGACTTCCCTCGAGACTGTGGCCCTGGGATATCCTTTGAGCCTGGAAATGGACTCTCTTAGGTGACTGGCTTTCAGCCCAACAATAGAAAGACCCACATACAGAACTCCTACCCCCGGTCAATGCACCCACCTACGCTAGAGAGATGTACCCCTTGGATCAAGCAGCCATGGGACACCAGAGGGGTAGGGCTTATATAGAGGGAACGCTGAACAGACGGGAAAGCATGGATGAGCGGGGCACTGGGAGCGGGTAGTCCCAGGTAGGAGAGGGGAGGAGAGTTTCTTACGGTTGGGGACCGTAATCCAGGCTGTAAAACCAGATATGCATGAACTGTTGAAAGTGAAACAAATTTGCTATGTAAATTTGCAACCAAAGCACAATAAAAAATACAGTAATGAGACTGAAGTAATCCTGGACTTTAGAGTAAGAATGCCCCTGTCAGAGGAGGCTCCCGAGGAAGAGCTCAAACACACCCCTGCAGCACCACACTGCTCAGGACAGTTTTGAAGCTCTCAGATGATTTACAACTCTTAACTAAACATTAAGGAGCTCTGGTGGTGTAGTGGTTAATACATTCAGCTGCCATCCAAAAGGCCAGCAGTTTGAACTCACCTGCCACTCCATGAGAGAAAGATGAAGCAGTCTGTTTCCATAAAGATTTACAACCTTGGACACCCTATGGCAGTTGTGCTTTGTCCTACAGGGATGCTGTGAGTCAGAATCAACTTGATAGCAGTGCGGTAACTAAACATTTACAACTCAGAGTTACTGACCTATTCTGTCCCATCTGTAAGGTTTGAAATACCCTGAAGTTATGTATGGGAGCTCTGGTGGCGTAGTGCCTAAGGCATTTGACTGCTAATCAGAAGTCTGGTGGTTCAAACCCACCAGCCACTCCTCGGAAGATTGGGCAATCTACTTCTGTAAAGATCCTGCCTCAGAAACCCAAGGAGGGGTCACTGTGAGTCAGATCCGACTCAACAGCATTGAGTTTGGTTTTTGGCTTGGAAATTATTTATAGTAAAATCTGGTGAATTGGGTATAGGTGTGGGGGGTAGGGAGTAGTGATTAAACAGAGTAATAGTGTTTAGAGTAATAAACATGATCCAGACCATAGGATGGATGGTGTTTTTTCTTTTTGGCATGACTTTGGTGTCGATTCCAAAAGGGACTCTAGGGACATTTTGAGCATGGGCAGCATCATTAGCCTCCCATGGCGACTACTTTAAAAACACACGACTTTCTGGGGGCACATGGTCATGGCATTTATTTTGAAAACTGTCATTGATCACACCCCACATTGAAGGTAAAATAAAGGGGCCACTTTGTCCATGGAATTCCCATAGACCACAATTCTGCAACAAATGAAAGAATCTGTCTTCTCCCTACGTAGAATGGCCACCTTTTTGCTCTTCTCCCCACCCACATGGCTGGCTGCCTTTCTTTTTCTCTGATGACTTTTCCTTCCGGGGAGACTTGCTTCTGCATTTTATTTGTTCTTGCTGAGATTGTAGGAGAGGGCACTGAACACTGGTGGTCCGAGGGGGCTCTGATTAGCAAGCACCTGTGTAATAGAGACTAAAGCTGGAAAATAGTCATCCTCAAATGGGGCTACAGTTTAGAAGCATTTGACTGCTAACCAGAAGGCTGGTGGTTCAAACCCACCAGCCACTCCTCGGAAGGAAGGCTGGGCAATCTACTTCTGTAGTGATACTGCCTCAGTAACCCAAGGAGGGGTTGCTATGAGTTGGATGCAACTCGATGGCAGTGGGCTTGGTTTTGGCTTGGGGGGCTTTTGATGAGCCCTGGTGGCACAGTGGTTAAAGTACTTGGCTGCTAGGTTAGGCGATTCGAACCTACGTTGGACTGGACCCCAGCCCCACTCTCTCTCCATGGCAGAAGCTAGGTCTTGGGGCAGGAAAGGCCAGGGGCAGATTCCCAGGCTATGGTGTCAGCTCCCTCAGTGTGCACACACTTTCCCTTTGAGCTCATAGTTAGAGAAACAGAGCTCCCAGAGAACATATGTTTCTCTGCCAATGCTGCTTACAACCAAGTGTGCAATACTTGTATCTCAGAAACATACATGCACACATGTACACCACCATGGTTTGACATGCTGTACTCCAGGACAGTAGCTGGTGATTTGAATATTCAGTGACAGGGCCAGTGACATACAGTGACACTGTGGGAAAAAGGTGAGGCAGTCTGTTTCCATAAGGATTTATAGCCTTGAAAACCTTAAGGGGCAGTTCTGGTTTGTTCTGTAGGGTTGCTGTGTTAGGCTGGGTTCTCTAGAAAAGCAAAACCAGTAAAGTTTATAGAGAAAGAGAAATTTATCTTAGGAAAATGGCTCACACACTTATAGAAGCTGGCAAGTCCCAAGTTCTTGGATCAAACATCAAGCTGGAGATTTCTCCCGACTCACGTAGCTGCAGGGGCTGAGGAGCTCAAGGTTGGCAGGCAGTATACTGGCTGTTGACTTCAACAAATGACGAATCCAAGATCCCCAGGCCGAATGGTGGATTGTTCGCTCACGGACAGTTGTAGGCAGAATCCCAATCCACAGAAGAGTGTCTCTTTTCCCAGGATGTCCATAAATATACTGGAAGCAGGCCACACCCCTAGGGAAACTCCCTTTCACTGGATTGGCTGCTCAAAACATATACATCTGATCCCATCTTTGGGACAACCCACATCACAATTGCTTAAACCACACAGAATTGTGGTCCAGCAAAGTTGACACACAGCTCCAACTATCACAGTTACTATGAGTTGGAATAGACTCAATGGTAGTGCGATTTGTTTGTTTTGGGGGGAGCTTTTAAAACTACTGACACCTAGGCCACATCCCATACTCTCTAACTCAGAACATTTGTGGGGCGGGAGCCTAATAGCAGTGTCTTGTCAGAGAGACTCAGGTGATTTCATTATGTAGCCAAGTTTGTGAACCACTGTTAAGTGGGGAGGGACTGGCCTTTGGAAATGTGAGCAGTTCCATGGGTGTTCACCCACAGTCAGCACGTCTCGCATCTCAGAGGCAATGTGCTATGCTCGAAAGACCACTGGGTGCAGATGCAGTCTCTCCATCTTACTGTCCCTGACCTTGGGCAAGCCATTAACTGACTCTGTTTCTTCAGTTTCCTCAGCTGTAAAATACTAATAATAGTGATCCTGTCTCATACACAAACACACACACACACTCTGCCGTCAAGTCGGATCCAACTTACAGAGAACCCCTCCTTGGGTTTCTGAGCGATATCACTACAGAAGTAGATTGCCTAATCTTCCTTCCAAGGAGTGGCTGGTGGGTTTGAACTGCCAGCCTTCTGGTTAACAGTCAAATGCCTCAGGCACTACACCACCAGAGCTCCCAAAGAATTAGAGCAACGGTGTATAAAGGGCCGAGTGCCATCTGAATGCTGATTGTTGTGCCTGTCGATTCTTCTTTATAAGAAGATAGTCATTTTCTGGGTGGCCTTGCAAGATGGCTGGGCTGCTTCCTTCATTACCAGGCGTAGACCTGAGAACTGGGACAGGGATTTATTTCTCCTATCTAATTAAGGGGGTGGCAAGGAGAAGTGAGCCACTTTGTACCTGACTAGCTCCAAGGGTACAGGGGCTGGGCAGAGAGGGGATGCCGGGCAGTGGGTGATGCAAGCAGTCCATTGTTTCCAAGCCTGGCTTCATCTTTGAGCTTTCTGTTCTAGTGGATTTCTTTTACTTCAAAGTAGGTGAAACTGCATGTCTCTGAGACACCCCGAAGGAAGGACAGTGACACCCTTCAGCCACCCGGGTCCACTTGGTCATTTTCACCATTGTGGCTGTGGTGTCTTGTGCAATAAACACCATTGCAGTTCTTTCCGGAGTAACAAAAGCATTTTCTTGGCATATCCTTCCAGGGATTCGAAGCTGGATGGAGGGAGACAATCAGCAGGTGCTGTGAGCTTGAAAGAGATCATTGGTCTGGAGGGTGTGGAGCTGGGTGCTGATGGGAAGGTAAGACTGCTGGACTTCCCACACAGGTGTTCATGTGGTACCATAGGTGTCAGGAAGCAGTATTATGTGCTGGACCCCAGCCCCACTCTCTCTCTATGGCAGAAGCTAGTCCTGGAGGCAGGGAAGGGCAGGGGCAGATTCCCAGGCTGTGGTGGCAGCTCCCCCAGTGTGCACACACTTTCTGTCTGAGCTCATAGTTAGAGAAACATAGAGCTCCCAGAGACATGCATTTCTCTGCCAATGCTGATTACAACCAAGTGTGTAATACTCACTGGTATCTCAGAAACATACATGCACACATTGTTTGACATGCTGTACTCCAGGATGGTAGCTGGTGATTTGAATATTCATTCAGTGACAGGGCCAACAAGCAGTCTTCCTGCTACCAGAACATTTTTTAGAGTCCCATACCCCATGGCTCTGAAAAATTAAGAGTCCCTCCAGAAAAATGTGGAATAAAATTCAAAAACCCACAAATGACCAGAATTAGTGGTCAGATAGAGATTGGTGGAACCTCTGAGACTATGGCCCCAGGTTATCCTTCGGGCCTAGAAATGGACTCGCTTCTGTGGATTGGCTCTCAACCCAACAGTAGAAAGACCTACATGCAGAACACCTACCCCAGGTCGATGCACCCACTTACTCTAGGGAGATGCACCCCTTAGATCAGTCAGCCTTGAGACATTAGAGGGGTAGCATTCACATAGAGGGAAAGATGGACAGAAGGAATGCATAGATAAGAAGGGCACAGGGAGGGGGTAGTCGCGGGGAGGAGAGTTTTTTATGGCTGGGGATGGCAATCGGAGCAATGAAATCAGATGTGCACGAACTGTTGAATGTAAAACAAATCTGCTTTGTAAATCTGCACCCAAAGCACAATTTATAAAAAGAAAAGAGTCCCTCCAGCTTTATGCCATGACTCCTGAGCAGCAAGGCTGTCAGATTCCTTTTCTGTCCACATTTTGATGGTCTGCTGGGTTATGAGTTCTGAGGAGTGTAAGGTTGAAAGAGGAACTTAACCTTTTCATGCTGGGTCGCAGGCAGACCTCATAACCCCTCCCAAAGCCTGTTTATGGAGATGATCCAAGTGTTTCTTTGGGGAAACTGCCCCAGAGTACTTTGCTTACAGATGTGGCTGTGGGATTGAGACACAACCCTTCAACCCCCCACCCTGCCAGATCACCACTGTGTCTTAATGACCTCACCCCTGAACTTAAGGTGCTGGGCCTGTGGGGTGTTTTTCCTGTGCAGATGAGAAGAAACACACTTGTTCTGTCTTCATTCCTAAAGGTTAAGTGTTCACATTGGAATGAGGGGTCATGGAATAAGATTGACTATCATAGCATCTGCAAAACGAACATGATAGAAGCCTACAGTGCTTTATCACAAGTTCTCAGGGCCAGCTGTATCTTGGAACTCTACACTTGGTGGGTAATCACAAGAAATACCGTGTATTGCTCATATACCACACAACACCTTTAACAGTTTCTGAGTTAGTACCTTGTTATCAAACACATTCCTATTTCTGCAGCAATCAAGTGGGAGTAATTAAAATTATCCATAGCCTCAAGCCAGTTCAAGCTTGGGCACAAATGTGGCACAGAGGAATGCCAAAATAAGTATCATTTTCAGGTCTTCTTGGATTTAGAATTACAACTGTGAGAATGTGGCCCTGAACTTGGGGTAGTAACAGCTTGGTCAGAATGCAGTACCTGCATTTCCTGGGAATAAACTTGCCCACTTTTGTCTTCTCCTTTCAGACTGTTTCTTACACCCAATTTCTGTTACCCACCAATGCCTTTGGGGCCCGAAGAAACACCATAGACTCCACCTCCTCCTTCTCCCAGTTCCGGAACCTGAGCCACCGCAGTCTCTCCATTGGACGGGCAAGCAGCACCCAGGGGAGCCTCGACACAGGTGACCTGGGGCCCTGGCTGGGCCTGGGGAGCTCTCTTGGGTAGGTGTGTGGAGATGTGGGCCAGGTGCCCTCAGAATGCAAGCTCACCCTCAAGTGATAGGACTTTGGGGAAATCCTGAGTTTACAATCAATGCACAGGGTGACCTCCCCTCTAATTAGATGCCTTAGTGGCTGGCCTTTCAAGGGTCCGCAAGAAGAAATTCCAAGGACACTTGTCTCAGGCTGCCCTGCAGAGATGGCTGGATGTTCAGCTTCTTGGCAATTCAGCTTCTCATCTCAAGGCTCACCTGGTTCTCTCCTGCATTTTCACAGTGCTTAGTTTGGCTTTCTTTCAAATAATTAGGCCTGTAGCACAGGCTCAGGCATGAGAATTTCCTCTGATTATCATAATGGGTGAGGTGAGTTGGCTGCTGAAGGAAGACTTGACTACTTCCAACTATGCCTACACAAACCTTTGTAAAAATTGATAGTAGGGAGAAACCCCTCCATGAAGCAATGTTGTTTGCACTCAGAGAAACGCCCAAGTTGTCCAGATGTCACTCAGGTGCTGAGTTCCAGAGTGCTTGTCCTCTGGGTCCTGGCTGCCTGGTGTTACTTACCACAGCTGCTTATGTTGGTAACTGCTCTGATGTGTGTCCCTGCAACATGAATGAGTCATACCATGTGACCAAAAGCAGTCACACCAAATCGTGTTTCTCAGAAGGCACAACTGAGTTTGCAGATTTGATCTGTTTAGAAAATGGCCTTTTCAGGGCTTTGCTCTGGAATCAGGAGGGCTGTCTGCAGCTTCTGTGCTTGCTGAAATTTTGTGCTCTCCTAGGTCAGTGAGATAAGCACATCATTTTCTGAAATGGAAAAAAATGTCAGAATGTTAAAAATTTGGCTAAGCCTTTTATGGGGGCCACACCTCAATGGCAGACAGAGATACCTGCTTAAGGTCAGGGTGACACAGTGACTTAGAGCTAAAGAATCTGTAACCAGCCTTTCTTTCATCCAACTGTATACTTCTCCCTACTGCTCCTGGTTCTGATTCCCTAATTAAGACTTTTTTTGTGACCTTCAGGTAGTGACCTGGGAGACTTCATGGACTATGATCCCAATCTTCTGGATGACCCTCAGTGGCCTTGTGGCAAGCACAAACGAGTTCTGATCTTCCCTTCATACATGGTGAGTAGTGTCTGGTGGCCAGGAGTTTCTTCTTCCTGCAGCCTCTCAGAGTGGCTCTGCACATAGCTTCATCAACAGGGGCCTGTGTGCTTACAAGGAGCTCTGGTGGTGCAGTGGTTAAGGCATAAGGCTATTAACTAAAAGTTCTGAAGTTCAAAACCACCAGCTGCTCTGCAGGAAAAAGATGAGGCAGTCTGCTTCTATGAAGATACACAGCCTCTGAAACCCTATGGGACAGTTCTACTCTGTCCTATAGAGTTGCTATAAGTCAAATGGATTTGATGGCAGTGGGTTTGTGTGCTTGGGATGAGAGGCTGATTCATACCTGTGATACCTGGGGACCTGCTTACAAAGCTCTGTCATATGGGCTACTTTGAAGGACCAGTTCCTGCCTAGAATCCAAGACTGGGGGTTCCCTGGCCTATGCACACTGTTCAGAGAAAGGCCAGTCTATGAAAGCTCCCAGCTCACCTTTGAGGGCGTACATGCATCGTACACCCTCTGGGGGATCAGGCCAATCGCTGGGGGTGCCAAGTTTGAGTTCAGCTGTGCTGTAAGTGCTGTAGTCACTGTAGGCCTCCATGTGCTCCACGTAAACATTTGGCACCCGGGTTCTGGATGACAGAATTATCTCTTGGGAAAGTGAAAGTAGGACAATGTGGGTGTTAAATGCAAAATTTTTCCTTGCTGTTTTTATTACATGGACTTTTCCTGTTTTTCCTTTTGGTAATTTTGGTTTCAGCTTTTGGCTGACCACCGTTTCCCACAACCCAAGGTTGCCACTTCTCCTGACACCAGTAGGGCCTGCCTGGGCCCTGTAGGCTTTCTTTGGGTCATCTTACCCAGCGCAGAGGCCAGCTGAGCCCTGACTGTGTGGCCAGAGGGCAGAGCTGGGCTTGCAGGGGAAGCCAAGTGGCCAGGCCTGCTCCACTCAGGTGGGCAAGCTCAGGCCAGATATCCCCACCACCTCCCCACACCTGGGCCTACAAGCCATGCCAGATGGGGCAGGCAGAGCCAGCCCTTTCTCTCTGAGCTGCCCTCATCCCCAGCCTGTCCTTTTTCTGTTCCACACTCAAGTTCATAAGCTGGGGTGGAAACTAACCCCATGTACTCTAAGGGCACCAGAATCCCAGCTCTCAGCCATGGGGGTCCCCTCCCGAGCCTCGCACCACACTGAACACTTAGCAAGTAGCTGGCATCAGAGAAGCATCAGGCACAGCTCAAGCCCTTGCCGACTTCTGCAGCATATATCCTTTTCTTGAAATTTGGCAGATAGTTCAAAAGTCATTCTAATTTGCCACTTTACATCACAATTGATTTCCAAAGGCCTTTAGTTTCAAATTTCCCCTACTCCTCACCCTCCCATTCTTATTCCCCAACTCCTAGCACAGAAAGCAAAACCATAAGTCATTTTTTTTTCCTATCCTATGATCTGTTAGGTTATGTAATTTTTAAAAAACCATGACATATTCATCATGCCTTCCCCAGAGGCTGGACATAATCATTATCCAATAAGTGACCAGAAAGGAGCTCTGGTAGGGTAGTGGTTTAATCATTTGGCTGCTAACCGAAAGGTTCATGGTTTGATCCCACCAGCTGTTTCATAGGAGAAAGATGAGGTGGTCTGCTTTCATAAAGATTTACAGCCTTGGAAACCCAGTGGGGGTTGCTGTGAGTCAGAATTGACTCCCTGGCATTGAGTTTGTTTTTAGTGAACAGAAAGAATCCTTGTCTAGTGTCATGGAAGGAGCAACTGAAAAATTGTGATTTGTATTAGAATAAGGATCTTTGTGGTGTTTGGTCCTTTGTTTATTAAGTAAATTGGGCAGGAAAGGGTACCTCAGGAGTCAGCAGGAGCCACCTAGAAGTTGCTGGACAGGAAGCGGAAGCTGAGAGAACACCTGGCTTAGGTTCTGCCACTTTCCCTATGGATCTGAACCTTTATCCTCAAAAGTCCAGGACAGAACCACCAGCTGCAGGATAGGATGCAAAAGTGCATTTTGGGGCCAACCAAACATTTAAAACAAGTATAGGTGACCAAGACATCAGTGGATACAATGATTTTCATTGGGGTTCACGAGGTTGTATCTGGTGATGACATGGCCTCCACTGTCAGGCTTGGGGCAGATCTGAGTGCTTTGTCTTTTAAGGATTTCATTGTCAGCTCTTAGGTGCTGGGCTATGGTGTGTGTGTGTATGTGCGTGTGCATGCATACATGGCATTTGTGTGTACACATGTGTAATGTCCCAACCTTGGACAGTGCGCTAGATGACTTGCCAGGTCAGCCTGTGTGCCTCCTCTCCCAGTTTCATGTTCCTAATGGATCAGGTTTCATTTCAGCACGTTGAATCCACAGCCTGTGCCTCCTTTAATCGTCCATTTTTTAGAGGATGAAATTACTTTTCAGCAGCATTTGCCTGGTCAGCTCCATAAGGTCTACATCTCCTCCTAGTCTGGCCATTCTAGGTGCTTTGACAAAACATGGAAAATCCACCTTTCAGCCTCCTCTCCTAAGTCATTTACTTATGTGCCATGTGCTACAAAAGCCTGTTATGCTTCTTATCCAGTGAAAACAAAGCAGCCGTGACCCCTCCTTCTCCATCTTGTAATGTAGTGGGGAGGCCAGGCAGCAGAGAAATCCCTGCAGGCAAGTTGTTGTTTACAAAGATTAAGTGGCACCCTTTTAAAACTGGCCCGGCCTTTGTAGTTAACACATGTATTTTTTAACTTTCATCCATGCAGGTCACTCCCCCTGTTATCAATTATAAAAGGGCAAAGGTGAGATTTTGAACTAAGGGATCGGGATCACAATTGAAGATCTCAGATGAGTGGGAGTGTGGAACAAAACTCAACTTCAATTCATAAAAGGGAAAAAAAAAAAAAGGGTACCGGGGCAGGTGTGGAAACCAAATTGCAGCTGCCCCTACGGCTTGGGCACTAAGGTTGCTACAGGCTGGCCAAGGAGCCTGGAAGAACGTTCCATATCCAGGTTGGTACAGGTTCCAGCAGGAGTTGAAGCTAATGACCGGGTTTCTCCCGGGCAGTAAGGGAGGGGCGCGAGGCCTTGTGCCGGAACCGGACGCTTCGGGGTTTGTGTGGTGTTTGGCTTATAATTAAAGTTTCACTAGAAAGTGGTTATTTGTCATTAGGCCCTGGCAGCTGGAGTCAGTACTGGGTTGTTGCGGTTTTGTTTTTGTTCTTGTTTTGTTTTTTTCCCCCTTTATAGGTGTGGGGAGCAATTCAGAGGAGAAAGTAAGTGAGAGAGCTGAGCTAATGCCAGCAAAATTAACATTACTTGAATGGATTTCTGGATCCTTTTCCTTTCTCAGGAAGAAAGCCCTCTCGCCCTGCTCGGGTATGAGAAAGAAAACTGACTGCCGTCCTTTGTAATATCTGTGGACATATAAATCTCAAGAGAACATCTCTTGGATTGATCTCCATGATATAGTGCCTAGGCTTTTATATTTACTTAATATTGACATCTAAACACTCATAGAGAAGCCCCTCCCCCACCCACCTCTCCTCACTGTTGTGGGAATGTATCTTAGGCTTTAGTTTTTCAATGCATTATAAGGGGCTGAGCAGTGGCTCATTAAAGGAAGCCTAACTTAGTCTGGGTTACACCTCAATATAAAGAAAATGAAAATCCTCACAACTGGACCAATAAGCAGCATCACGATGAATGGAGAAAAGACTAAAGTTGTCAAAGACTTCATATTACTTGGTTCTACAATCAATACCAATGGAAGCAGCAGTCAAGACATCACATGACGTATTGCATTGGGCCAAGCTGCTGCAAAAGACCTTTTTCAAGTGCTGAAGAGTAAAGATGTCTCCTTGAAGACTAAGGTGTGCCTAACCCAAGCCATGGTATTTTCAATCGTCTCATATGCAGTGTGAGAACTTGACGATGAATAAGGAAGACCAAAGAAGAGTTGATGCTTTTGAGTTGTGGTGTTGGCGAAGGATGCTGAAAGTACTATGGACTGCTAAAAGAACTAACAAATCTGTCCTGGAAAAAGTGCAGCCACAATGCTCCTTGGAAGTGAGAATGGCCAGACTTCGTCTCACCTACTTTGGTCATGTTGTCAGAAGGGACCATTCCCTGGAGAAGGATATCATGCTTGGTAAAGTGGAGGGTCAGTGGGGAAGGGGAAGGCCCTCAACAAGGTGGACTGACACAGGGGCTGCAGCGATGGGCTCAGGTGTAGCAAGGATGGTGAGGCTGGCACAGGACCGGGCAGTGTTTCCTTCTGCTGTACACAGGGTCACTATGAGTCAGAGACAACTCGAGGGCACCTAACAACAACAACAGTTCAGTCTTCTGTGTGGTAGCCAGTTAGTCTCAGAGCTCTGGGTTTCTTTTTAATTGAAAGCTATCTTGATGGCTTAGATGTTTATTTATTTGCTTGCAGAGGTGGGTCTGTTGTGAAGTAAAGTGGCTGGAGCTCCAGGGCCCCTTTACTTGTACAGGCCTCTTCCAGGGTCCTGGGAGGGGCCACGGGTGGATCCAGGCCCCTGATGCTTATTCAATTCCAGTGCTCCTCTTTAAGAAAAATGATGCAACCTTTCAAAACACAAATGTAAGAGGCCTCACAGAATATTGGGGTGGGAGGCAGGTGGGGGGCACTGCCATCGAGTTGATTCCAACTCATAGTGACTCCCATTGGGTTTCTGAGGTAGTAATCTTTACGGAAATAGATTGCCCAGTCTTGCTTCCATGGAGTGGCTGGTGGGTATAAACCATCAACCTTCTAGTTAGCAGTCAGATGCCTTAGGCACTGTGCTACCAGAGCTCTTTTCAAAGAATCTTGAAGGGGCCCACAATAGCCTCACCAGCTTTAAGGAAAATCTTCTCTACTGGGTTTGAGTTTATGCTAATGGTGGTGGAATATTTGGGAAAAGGATAGCAATAATGGTGGCACAACATGAAATATGTCTTCAGTGTCCCTGAGCTGTAAATGGGGAAGTTGTTATGTTTTCACCACAATAAAAGTAA